TTGCTATCTGCTGCGGGCTTCTGGGCGAGGAGTTATGAAGATTTTTGTTGAAAAATTTGAATGCAAGATTAGTGAAATTCAGCCGTAACCATTTCTTGGCATTCAAATGAGGCGGCAGCGAGTTGATATACGTGAATGAAGAATATTTATTGCACGATCCGACTATCAGCTAAGCCCTAGTAAAAATGTTACGAGTGATTTTACGCTAATCTTGCATTTGACATTTTACACACAAACCTTCATAACTTCTCGCCCAAAAGTCTGCAGCTGATAGCGAGGACAGATTTGGAATCAGCGTTCTTGGTTCTACAAGACAGTTTATATGTCATCCCAAAAGGCCACTTCGACCAACCTTCCTTCCCTTTTAAGGCTCAAATCAGCTTTACCGCCCTTCGTGCAAGTACTGCTTTTCTTATCTCTTCAGTAAATGAGTTTCAGACTCTTTCTCAAAAATCTTCGACTGGCCAAATTTTAAGCGCGATCCATCCAAATATAGCATCAAAAGGTAAGCTCAAGATTATTTGATGTACCTTATCCTCCTCTTTCTTATTGCTATTTGTGTATGCATATGTGACAATTGGCTACTTTCAGAATCTTAATTTCGAAGGTGAAGAACAAGCCTATATCTCAGTTTTGCACGTGCTTACGGACGGTATGAAATTTCAGGATCTTGATATTCTGAAGCGACAACTTTACTTCCCAAAACCAGATATTGTAATGGTCAGATTTCAGAAGTTTCATGTTCTCACATTCAAAAGTGTTTGGTGATCCACAGATTATACAGGCTCCAAAAACGACTTCCAAAAAAATATATCAAGTTTCTGAAAAAATCGTGGGAGAGAGATGTAAAAAAGCCTTGCATTGCAAAGCTCTGCTCTACCCAGCGGTTATTGGAGCTCTTTCAGAAACGTTACGCAAAATTTTTTTCAAAATTTGTCAAAGTCGGACCAGCTAGAAATGATTGGTATTGATGAAAACATTGCTACTAGAAAGAGCAAAAAATTTTGCATTTAACACATAAGATTTGGCTTACACTCTTCCCAAGGGATTCGCGAATTAATCTTAAAAAAACGCTACGAACTTTAATCAACCTATACATTCATTTGCACGAGGTAAATGACTAATTTATTCATGAACTCGTAAAACTTTATCATCTTAGCAAAATTCACGTGCGCATCAATTCTATTTATTTAAAGCCTATGATTTCACTGATTTAACAAATAAGAGTGTCATGGATTCGCTTTCTGCGAGTCATCAAATTTCCAGGAGCTTGTAAACTTTTCAGACTGTTGAGTCAATCTACAAATGAGGTTCTTTTTGCAAACGCAAGCAAAAAACAGCGAACGAATGAATGGGCTAAGCAATACGCCGATTATCTGTCTGTTTGAATGCATGTATAATATATACGTTGGTGCGAAAAGTTTATTTCTGAGATTTGGACTGAACTTTGCACACATACAGGGGGAGAAGGGGAGGGGGAGGGGGAGGACCGCGATGGTTGACCATTTTTTCAACAACCGAACGTGAAGTCTGTTGGATGCTCAAATATTAGGTGGTTGCTAATGGATAATTTCGGGCTTTTGCGGCTCCTAAAATGCTGATGGCAGATTCCTGTCCAGTGTTTAATATCTCAAAAAACAGTACTCAAAGGAGATTGGAACATAAATTCTGTTTGAATAGAACTCATATCCCTCTGAAAATAAGGCGCAAAAATTCGAGATACCCCAATTTTCTCAGAGCAAAAATGTGAGCAAATTTCGTTTTTCCAATAATAATTTCAAACTGACGGATAACAAAATCGCTAATCAAAAATATGAAGAGTTCGGTTTTTGAAATTGGGGATAACGTCCTGTACTGTCAGTGGAACTTTCTGAGTAGTTGATGTATGATAGTAGAAGCCCTGAACTAATTCCCCTCAAAAAATCTTGGATTAAAAACAACTAGGAAAGTTTTATAGAAATTGTATACCAAAAAGAAATTGTTTTCTGCCAACTTCCCCCTTCCATAGTGGCTTAGATTATAACCTCGTCCAAGCAAAAATACGATTGAGTTAGAAGCTGGAGATGAAGATCGGCAGTAGCGCCGCAAGAAGAAAAGAAGTCTTATGAGAACAAGTCTTAGAAGTCTTGTCATAGGCTGGATGAGCTTATGTCAGTTTGTGGGTGACCCAACAGAAGCATCCAACATGCGACTAAACCGTCTTTTGAAGAGTTTAACCTGAGGAGAATGTGCCTCTAGGTCGTGGGAAAAACTAGGAGCTTATCAGGAAAACCATTTAAGGGATTGCTTAAGAGAAGAAAAGCCTTAAGCCAGGGTCCATTTGCAGTGCAGGTCGAGCGACTATTGCTTAGCGCCAAGTGCAAAACAGCGTTGCAGAAGAATCTTCAAAAGTACAGCAAGATAATGAATCACTCCAAAAAACCGTTCTCAAGTAGTGTTAATGGGACCGCTGCGAAACGTTTGCACCGCTGGCAGCACTATCGATGAAGACGAGATCCAGATTTTTCTTTCAGACAAAAATGCCAATCTCAGAGTGTTTTTACAGCAACCTTTCCTCCTCATTACCGTGCCGAAGCACGTTGTTCCCGCTGGAGAAGCACTATGACTGGGTTTTCGTGCTCAAGTGCGCCCCGAATATAACATCCGTACAAGAAATTCACGGTCCCAGGATGAAGTCACCTCTGTGATCTTCTACGATCGGCAAACGCCTTAGACCGTGAGCATAACTCTTGCCATTTCAGGTCGCCAGGCGATTTGGCTATTCGCCAGATCTCTCAAACTCAACAGTTAGACCACAATGCTTGGTTATTCAACTTTTGTGGGTTGAAAAAATGTGCTATTTTCCGTGTGCTCAAAATGAGATTGCAACGAGTAATAGGCAACTGAAGTATTGCCAAGTCGAGTCACGATCAAAATCGCGTAAGGCATGGTCGGGGCCTTACACGGGCGTCTCGAGCCGATTATGGCATTCACTCTAGGAGCGAAGAGTCTGCGACTAGCGAACAACGCATAAAAACCGTGCCTGTCGTCAAAATAGTAGGTGCCGAGACTACCGCCTGTTTCCAACCAACGCAGTCCTATTGATCGGCTCATGACCCAGTTTATGTGAGGACATCAACCATCCGTTTTAATCGTTAGATATCCTAGCCCCGCACCATACTGACTGGGGATCCAAAGAAGCAAGCTCGCCGGAACTGTTCATCGCGGGCTTGCAATTGGCATGAAATTAGTGCACTGAAATGAGGGAGACATACGAGATAATGGGAAATTGATTTCACCTTTGTTTTGCGGATGATTCGCTCTCTTACCGAGTAATGAAGAGAGACAATGCTGAGGAAACTCAGCTGCGAATAAATAAGGATGATTTATGTGGGACTTACGTTTAGCATGGAGAACAATTAGAGGGAAGAGAGGAAGAGCCTGAACCTTTGCGTCTTTAAAGAAAGACACCGATCAGTCTATTCATCTATTAGGTCGTTCCGAAAGTAATGTCGCTTTTTTCAAACGTACGCCACATCTCGTGGAACAAAGATATGTAAAACATTCTGAAAGCATTTAATGCAGCATTTCATACTCTTTTTAATGGCTTGATAATCACTGCACAGAATTCAATAACCTCTCCAAAAATTGTCAAAATCTGCGACTCATGCTTTTTGGGAAGGCCAAGTTTCACAATTTTTCTAAATTTTTACAACAACCCTCGGAAGGAGTCCAAGTAATGGATGGATAAAGCAACCCCTACGGAAAACAGCACAACTTTTTTCTACTTTCCAGAGCTCGTCATAATTTTTGTATAGATTTTTTAATAGAACCACCGAATTTCAGCATTTTCGCCTCAGACACCAATGCATCAAACACCAATAAATCTTCGGATTTTGAAACTTACACAAATGAATTATGGTTTGACACTAATTTTAGTAACCAAATGAGCATTCACCGGTTCAGATTAGCTACTTTCGAAAATTCCGGGTACAGCCTGGGGCGCCCTGGAAATTCTGAATTATGACGATTTTATCCCGGAAAACTTGATGAATCGGAAACAAAAAACAACTGGTAGAAAGAGGAGAAGAACCTCCTTTGAATGACACCCGAGTTCAGTGCCGGTTGTTGTTCTGTGAGGTTTGAGTTGACCAAATATTGAATTTGATGGCATTACAAAATTGATTCCAGAAACTTTAAGAAGCAAGCTAATGAAAAGAAAAAAATAATCCTGTGTCTTAAAGGGTTTGCTCTAATTAACTCTCTCTTTTTCTTCTTCGGAGGATAAGTACAAAAATTTAGAAAAATAGCCGAACTTGACCGTGGCAAAAAGCATGAGTCGCAGATATTGGTAATTTTTCGAGAGCTCATTGAATATTATGCAATGAAATTAAGACCATCAGAAAGAGGATGAAATTCTGCGTTGAATGCTCTTAAGATCTCTTGAAAATCTTAACTCCGTGAGATGTGGCGTTCATTTGAAAAAAGCGACATTACTTTCGGAACGACCTAATATTTTCAATAGCAAAGAATTTCAGTCTCATGTAATTTTTGCATCGTTTTTATGCAAAATCACACCTTACACGGTGACTTATACTCAGAAAGCGAGGTTCTATACTGAGTATATCAATCTTTTTTGATCGCAGAAGTGGTAGCAAAATATGAGACTTCCTCTCGCATCCTTTCTTTCATTTCGTTGTCATTGTTACTAAAAATCTGTTCGTTAGAGCGAATTTGCCTTTGATGGTGTCATTGTAATGATTAATTATGAATATGAGTAAATGCTGCATGATTTGTTATAAGGAGTAATGAAACTTACATCTAAACAAGGAACCCCTCGATGTCTCTTGAGAATGTTTCGGGGAAAGATTTACTCAGTTTTGTTGGAAATTCGAGATTTTTTCTGTTTTTGTCAAGACCCACATTCGGGCAATCTTCACATACATTGTATTATCAAAATGCTGAGCTTAAAACACAACTTCCAAGCTTATCCTCGCTTCACCTTCTCATTAAAGAAAATATTTATTTCCGAACAAAAAGAAAAACGAACAAAAGCAGTAAATTACTGGTGAGGTTCATATGTTAATCAAGCATGCAAAATGTTAAACATTCTTCATCCTTGAGTAAAAATACGTTGATCAATTTCTTGTGAACAGTATTTTCTTCTTTGTAGACAACCAGTCTCAGTAGCATCACTTGTAATATTTCTGCAACTCTTTCAGTTCCTTGGAATTGAGTTTCCCGTTCATCTTGATATTGTAATGAGACTTATACCAGATAAACTCGCTTGTTGGGTAGTCCAAGTACCATTTTGGTCCATATTCCATCTGCAAATGTGCAGCGCTTATAAATTAACGACTTGTTTTGTTGAATTTTACAAAGAAAGGAGAACCTCATAATTAGAGTAAACGCCCATTGAAAAGATAGCTAAAATAACAATGAAAACATTCGCAACTAGATTAGATTTGCAAACAACTGCGGAAGAAAATAAGTATTTCTCCTTCTAGGCGTTCACTTGCAGTTAGAACCTGGTACGCTTAAGGAACCCCCGGTTATGCTTGCAGCCGTTGTTGTCCAACAGTGTGTACTTGACAAGGCCAACTTCTAACTGCGTATATCGTAATCTGACGCCATTTTGCCTCATTGCAGAATCTGTATAGCTACCTGACTTATTCCTATAAATTGAATGAACTTTCAATGCATGCCCAGGAGCTGAAAAAAGCTTTCGAAATATTGCGCAACGATGTGAAAGATTGCGAAAAGAAGTTGATGCGTCACATAGTCTATCTACTAGCTGGCATACTCGGCTCCGCCGGCCCTGTCAAAACACTACGGCAAAGGCCCCATCCCTATCCCGGTACAACCTTTCCATGTGCCCACTTCTAAATGCCAAGTCCCTATTCCCCGCTGTGTTAGCAATCAGCATACTCACTTACCCCTCCCTCCCCCCCCCCCCGTTATCCGAGCTCCTAGCCTCGCAGGTCAAACTTCACAAAAAATCAATAAAATCGATATCCATTGATGACGAAATTAGCCTAGGACATCCGCCCACCCCGAACTGTATGTGTGCAAAAGTTCGGATCGGTTCAGAAATGCAGTTTTCTATTCGGAACATACCGTACACACTGACATACAGACATACAGACTAATAGGCATCCAGTTTTGTATATAAGAGATGCTAATTCCCACTCTTGCGAGATGCAGGCGCAGGTTACAGGGCATAGGTATTAATAGCTCTTTAGCTAATAATATTATGCCTTGTAAGGGTTGGGCCAGACTGCGCGACGTAAACGACGTACGCAGCGTACGCCGCGTACGCTCCTATGATGAAATATACCGAGCGTACGCTGCGTACGCCGCGTACGCCGCTTCCCCGCGAGGTCTGGCTCAACTCTAACCTGCCCTATTAGCTCTAGCTTTCTCTCTATAGGCTAAATAGCTCTGCTATTGGTAGATTGTCAACTCAGATTTGCTCTTTTTATATGATCTTTGTTCTTTTGAATATGGTGCGCTCATTCTAATGTTATAGAGATCATGCTGTAGCTACGAATGTGAACATTTCTGCCCATATGCAAACGCATGTTAGGCTAAGCATACGACAAGTCGTGCAAAGACTTCGAAATGTTACAGAAACGTTGTTGTTGAAACGTCGTTCCACGGCGTTTATGCGACATGGTAATTGCTAGAATAATGACTACTTTCATGGTAAAGGCTCTTCTGCAGACTTACATAGTATTCATCAGCTTGACAACATTTGGATGTAATATTCGTGCTTCAGCTGGTCAAAGCACTCACTACACAAAGTCTATGCAAATTCGAAGTTTCCTGTAGTTACAAGGAAATGGTCTGAAGTCGAAGTAGTCATTTTCAAATAGGCATATGCCGCTGAATGCAGTATGGAAAGCTCCTTCTGGTTTCCACATCTGCTGCACTCCTTTGCAGACAAAGTTATGGGCAGTTTTACTAAAAAATCGTATACAAGAACTGCAAGCTTCTAACCCGTACGCCATTCGCACCTTAGGCAATGACTCTATAAAACAACCTACATTTTGGCCTAGCATTAACCAAACATGAATCTGTATGTCAAAATTGCACTTTGCATAAACCATTCCATTGCAGTATAGCCGTTTTTTTACAGAGGGCGCTTAGCTTTAGAACTAGATTTCGAATCAGTATCGTGCTGCATCCATTCGTATGCAGTTTAGAAATAAGTTCAACCTCACAACTGATACCTTGTTAGTCATTGACGGATGTTGTCTCAGCGTTGCGTGAAAGGGTCAAATTTCTAACTAGCATAGTAATATACGGTTGCCACGGAATGCAAAGTCATGAAAGAAAGTAGACTTAGTTCCAAACTTGCACATTAGGCCAAGTCCATCTTATATCTGTTATTATGCTACTACGTAAAAGAATTTATAATCATTGTCTATGTGAAATCTAGCTTCAAAGTAATTTGCACATTATGTCATAAGCATCTTCAACGATATCTATCAAATTTCAATTTTCGGAAGGATTAAAGGCAGCTCCCGGCAAAAACACGGGTCCGTGCTTTTGTGGCGATGTTAAAGTAGATCCGCTACCTAAGCGATGACTGACATTTGGAGCGAAAAAGGGGGTCTACGAAGCCTGAAATTTGCACCGAAATAGGCCCGAATCTTACGGTAGGTCCGGATGCCACCCACACAGCAATTTCGAGCTGCAAGGCCAATCACGCATAGCACGCACAGCCATAAGGGCAGGGTCCCGCAACGACTCTGCGTCTTTATCCTGCATGCATCTCGTACTCGCCCGAGCCTACCGTAAGATTTAAGTCACTTGGGGGGCGATGTGTAGACTTCCTAGACCCCTTTCGCGCTGCAAACTTCTGTCGTCGCTTAGTTAGGGCATCTGCTATTACATTACTACCAGAGCTAGCTACTCCCTATCTGGTGGGATGCTGCCTTTAAGCCTTGCAGCAGTTCCCTGAGTAGCAATTAACAAGCAAAAATGAGTAAAAAATACAAGAAGATTTCTTTTCTCTATGTTGTTCAACTTTATTGAAAACTAGTTCTTTTAGAAGGCTGAAAATCAGTGGCAGTGCTTAAAAGTCTTTAGCATAGTATTACCCATGCTGCGGTAGACCAGCCTTCATCAATCTTCTCCTACTGTTTCTAGTAAGTGTACATACACGTTGATCTCAAAGGCACAAAACGCATTGTTTTTACTCTAAACTCGACGAGCCCGAATAAAGCATATAGTTCCGCGACCAAAAAACCCTCTACCGTACTACAACTTACCTAGTATCAGGTTGTCCGGGAATTAATGCAGGTTTTGAATTCCAAACGCAATAAGTCATACACTTCTCATTTCCAAATGGGTTGCAAAGTACCATTCGATAGAGCAAAGCAAGCTCTACAAGATGGCAATCTTGCTTTAGCAAAGCTCTGATCCACCACGAGTTTCGAACCAAAAACTAAAAACACTCAGCAGCCCGAAAAATTGAGAAAAGTCGTAACTCAGTTCATAAAAATCCTACAAAAATTCTAACTTGCTCACGTAAACACAATCTACATAGGGGCATCTACATACGCCGTTGCCGTATTTTTTTCTCCGTTAGAAATCAAGAAAACGGAAATTTTCGTGCATTTGCCAAAGTGGTGCTGTACCGCTCCCACATAAGTAGTTGTATACTACAAACCGGAAATACAAGCGTAAATTTCCTGCTCTATACAAGCTTTAGTTCTCGAGAAATTTGGATTTTAGTTTGGACCACATGACTTGGGAATACTGTATTCGATATTTCTCGAGAGCTAAAGCTTGTAGAGAGCTGGAAATTTACGTTTGTACTTCTAAAGATTTGTATTATACAACCACTTATGCGGGAACGGCACAGCACCACTTTGGCAAACGCACGAAAATTTCCGTTTTCTTGATCTTCAACAACGAAAAAATGCGGCAGCGGCGTATATAGATGCCATATGTAGATTGTATTTACGTGAGCGAGTTAGAATTTTTGTAGGATTTTTATGAACTGAGTTACGATTTTTCTCAATTTTCGGGCAGTTAAATCTTTCAGTTTTTGGCTCGAAAGTCGTGGTGGATCAGAGCTGCTGCTAAAGCAAGATAGCCAACTTGTAGAGCTTGCTTTGTTCTATCGAATGGTGTTTTGCAACCTAATCAGAAATGAGAAGTGTATGACTTATTGCGTTTGGAATTCAAAACCTGCATTATTCCGGACAACCTAATAGCTGTGCGGAAATCACAGCCAGCCGAGTTGCTCGCATCAAAGTGCGTTATTCGTGAATTTATGTTGTCCGATATTGGAATTATGGATCTGAGGAATTTATTCGAACAAAGTTTGGAATTTCCCAGCGTTCTCAAAATTTTCAGAAACCCCGACTCCACGTTGATCGAACTGTGTGCGAACTTCGAAAGCTAATTTAGAGCTTTTCATTTCTTGGAGGTACGGTGGCTTGTTCTCTAATAGAAAAGGAATCAAAATCGGCAAGATATCGTCGAGTCGAAGAATCATATAAGACAACCTGATTTTTACCTCTAATGTTAATCACTCTCGAATTTTCAAAAACTATATAGATGTGCAAACACTCAACTGTAGTCTAACCTTGTTTGAGATGCGAAGGAATTGATGGTGAAGTAAAAAACTCACTGATAGAAATGCTACTAGATCGCAAGGAACCCAGAACAGATGTCCAAGAAAATCACATGCGCATATCTTCCTTATTCTTAAAGTTGCATGAGAATGATACTGCTAATTTATCCATGATCTGCAAGTGTTAGTTACCTAGGATATGTATACTTGTATTTCGTTCCGTCATCACCCTTGAGGCCTCCCGTCCAAGACTCATTTTTGGAGCTGAACAACCAGAACAAGTCCATTAGAGGCTCCCCGCGATCCAAAGGTTTCAAGGTAAATTCGAAAAAATCACTTGGCTAAAAAAATCTCTCACTCAAAGGCCTATGTCTTTATATCTGACAACTCACTTTTCCAAGTACTCGCCAGAGAAATAACTTTTTGTTCTTTTGCAACTCCTCTAGCACTTCCGGCTTATATTCTTCGATAAAAGCTGCGAAGTCTATATCTTTGGTGTGAGGTATGATGCCACACTCTCGAAACCATCCTATAAGTGGAGGAAAGCTCGATGGAAAGTTAACTCAGAAAGCACAGACCAGAACCATCTTTTCAAATTTTCACAGTCAGCATGACAAATGTCTTTTTGAGATCATGCATTTTTTTTCAGCTGCTGTAACATTAGCGTGATTCTTTACTTTTATAACAGGCTATATTTGCTGTTAATCGGAGTGAAAGCATGCGAAAAAAGTCGAAGATGTTGGTTTTTTCAACCTCTTCAGCTTTTTTCGCTTTGCTCTATTCTTGCGCTGCACACTCTTTTTCTATAGCGTAGAGTGTTATAATCTGTCTGAGGTTGGGAACCTTAGGAAGTTTGCCATACTTCTGATACAAAGTCTGACATATCAAAGAAGGTTGTTGCAGACGCTGTTTTTATGTGCGAAAAACGTCTTCCGTTGCAAAACAAAATGCAATTTTCTACAGCATTGGGATACGCTTTGAGTGGGCTAACCATCTCTGGTGAGAACGGATGCATGGAAAGAAATACAACCAGTCGAAGACAGAACTTCGAAGTGCACCAATGTTGTCTTTCCTTATTTTCGGGTCGAGGATCTAGCCCATCTGCTGGTTCAATTGAGGCCTTGACCCGACGATTCGGAGAACAGCTGATATATTTTTTTCAAGGTAGCACAGCTGAATTTATTGGATTCGTATATATTTTGATAGAGTCTTCTTTGATTTTCACCACTATCAGGAGTAGTCCAGCTTCAAAAAGCAATTGCCATATTTTGGTATAACCGCGTACTCGCCTTCACCTGAACTTTACAGAGTGCGTTAACGAAACTAGTCGCCATTAGACGCCGTTAGCAGCTTTTATTCTCGCGGAAGCGCGGATTCATCTATTCTTTTCGCTCCAGTGCATTATCCATGTCTGCTCATCCCCCGTATTTTTTAAAATCTCGTTCAAGTGCAGCCTGATCTCAGAAATCGTTTTTAATAGACGGGTAGCTAGTAAGTGGATAAAGTAGGTACATTTGTGACATATTAGGTCGCTCCATAAGTTTGTACTATTTTCTTTCTCGTGCTCGTTTGTCTGAGAGGGGTTGCTGCAAGATCCGTGCATCATTGAGAAGAGCTGATCAAGATCTTCATAATGAACCTATTGAATAAATGTAGATTTGATCTACTTCAATTTTCCAACTTATGAAGGTAGTCTCGAAAAGCAAAAAGAAGTACTTTCGACACCTGCCCATTTCTTACAAAGGAAGTGTTTGCATAGATTTCCTGCCGATTATTGGAAGTGGGGTTCGCTCAACAATATGAGAAAAAAGAATTAGACTGCCTCAAAAGACCTGGAGTTGAACAGGGTTTTCCTCGAACAAAACTTTTTGTGGGACGACCAAGACGTCCTGCACTGAAAATTGCTGGACAAGAACGAAACGGTCGACCATAGCACACTCAACCTAATTGCGCCGTTCAACGAATCCCTGCTGCAAAAAAGACTCAAGACAGGTCTGATGAGTTTTCCTGCACGACAAAGTATAGCTCCGTACGGCAAACGTCTTCAAGACTGTGCAAGGCGTGACTGGGAGATACATCCTCAGACAGTCGAAGGGATACCTCCAGAGGGCAAATGGCGGGGGTCTGCCACTTCGTGCTCCGGAGCCCTCCCATTCTGGCTCACCCCCGGAGCAGTGATGGTGACGTCACAAGAAAGCGAATCGGACCCCTCCCAGGGCTCGCAAATCTCTGCTCCGGGGGTGAGCAGATTTGGAGGAGCCCCGGAGCACCAAATTGGGTGAAATGGGAGGGCCCCGAAGCACGAGTGGCAAACCCCCGCTGGGCAAGCCCGGGACCCCTTCCCTCCCCCCCCCCCCCCCATTTTTGCTCCGGAGGTATCCCTTCAACTGTCTGAGTCAAACCTCACCAAATAAAAATTTGTCCCGCTCTCTTTGAACCATATAAACGATGCTTGTGATTCTGAAAACGATCTCAGGTGCTTATAGACAACTTTTTTGGAATCCTCCTCGCGAGTTCTGAAAAAGAAGTTGAAATTGGCAAGGTGGCAGAAGGTTGTGCTCATCAAGAAAACATACTACCTAATTTTGGTAAATCTCTGCCATTCTATTGATTCGTAAAAACGGTACGAACTTATGGAACGAGTTACGAGATTGGAATGCAGATATTTTTGCAGCGCCGATTCGTTTGCAGGTTGTTGCACAGTAGTCGTTGAATAAAGGAGGTGCTTAAATTAAAGGCAGGGTCCAAGCAAATCTGCACCTACGGGAATTTTGAGTGGAAGGTAATTTTGGGGCCCTGACTAAGGCACTGCCCAACCGGCAGTTCAGATAGGCTCTAACGGCTGAGATATTTTCCTCGCAACTGGACCCCAGGATCATATTGGCATAGATTCATGGCTCAACCCATCGGTTTCGGGCAAGGAACGCGTTACGCCACGACTCCATGCGACGTACGATCCTGGGGTCCACTTTCGAGAAGAATATCTCAGCCGTTAGAGCACTACTAGCAGCAGCACTCATGAATTTCTAAATCTTTTTGTAATGTTTTTCACGGGCCCATATGATTTATTTGTACTTTGGAGATGGTTTGCTATAACAGTGCAAAATTTGGTGTTATTTTGTCAGCTGTGGATTTTCTTATAATTTTATACGGTAGCAAAAATGAGAAAAGGGGGTCGTATCTGCGCTTCATCTAAGTTTCTCCGGAGCTATTGAAGCTTGTTAGCTTCAAACTTGCTGTAATACAAGGCCATCCCTCTACTTTTTATCATAATAATTTCAGGATGTTTTATAACTTCTCCAGTGAGATACAAGTCAAGCTCAAAAATCCCACATTTTGCTTCTTAGGATCCATCTAAATTTGCAAGAGTCGCATCTAGATTTTTCCGAGCTTACTGCTCCTCAATGGCTGAAACTTTTTCCATGGATAGTATGGGCCCATACTACAAAGCCTGTTCTGCAGCCTCTCAGTCTTTCCCTGCCTTTAGTTACAAATTTCAAAATACCGTGCTCATGCACGTTTTTGACATCGTTCTGGAAGGCGCCAAAACAATTTTTTCGCACGAAAATTCGTGCAAAACATATTTTACGCTTCAAAGATATCGTCTTTTCTCCCTTCAAAAAATGGTGTCGCGTACGGGGACCGAATTTGTTGGCCAGAAGTATGCTTGAAAATTCAAAAAAAAAACTTGCAGAACCCAAACATTATTGAAGGTGTGTATGCGTGCCAAAGATGTTGCACGTACCCCCTGTCTCAGAAATTCTGCTTCCGAAGCCCCACTGAAGTCTCACACACTCGACAAAATCCCATATCTTTACCAACGGTGACCGTCAATAATTTGTAAATCTTTAAGTAAGGTTTACCCTAATTTCACGCGCATAAAGCGCGGGGACTTTTTCAAAATCGACCAGCTTAGACAAGCCAAAGGACTTTAGAACCAAAGGACCCTATAACGTGCTGTATATTGCTTGAGAGAATCGTGCGATGTAAGGATTTCTTTCCGGAATACAGTGAAGCGGCTAAGCGGCTCGCTTGAAAATTCGAGAAAGTGCACCTTATAAAAGTGAAATTAGGGTAATTACCATTCAGATCGGAATCGATGTTCTGCTTTGTCAGATGATGTCCTTTCCATTCGTATTTTCCCAACCACAATAAACATAGCCAAATCTTCGTGGAATTTTATTACTTAAATCTACGCAGAATTATTTGTGAGGGTTTTTGAATGGCGATGCATTACTTGCATTATCTCCCAATTTGTAAGTAGTAATCTATTTCTGATCTATAATTTTTGATTGAGGTCCATTGGCAGGCATCTCTTGAGATTGACATTCATTTATGCAGGTTACCGCAAAAAAAAGTGGGAGGGGTAGGTGGGAGGGGAGGGGGGGGGGTAGGTGAGGAGGGGGGTCGTACGGATAGGTACTAGCTTCAGGGGGGGGGGTCGTAGAAGAGGGTCTAGGATCGCATCAACACGCCTGACCCTGGTTAGGGCCTCAAAATTACTTTTTACTAAGATCCCCATAGATCCAAATTTGCCCGAATGCTACCTTTAAAGACACCTTCCACCCAAATTATCGACTTTCATGTTTCTGTCGTTCCGGGACTTTCCCATTTCCCTAATCTCGAAAATCAAGTGGAGTCCGCAAAAACCCTGACGATCGTTAGACCCACTGGGCGAGTTCTCCGAAACGGTGATTCCTTATTTGCACACGGATGGGCGGACGAATATCACACCACTCAGAGGGAAGGAGTCAATGTAGGAAATCCGTCATTTGAAGCAATTTGATCGCTTCGGAAGCAACTGTTGGCACAGCGAATGGGTAAGTACACAGGAGCTCCGCTACTGTTAGGCATCAAATCTTATCGACACCATTTTCGATAATGCACTTTTGAAATTAACATTTCCATGATCTTATGGAACCGGTTAGCTTTAGTGTAGCCTTAGATAGAATCCAACTAACTATAAGCCACTGTGGCCGCATACATCAACGAACCGCGAGGGTAAAATTTGCCCTTGAGGGCAAGTTTTGCCCCAGAAAGCAATTAATCCGTAATCATGAACGTGGTTCATTAACACATTGACGACCGTACAGATTTTAAGTTGTCTACCTTTTGGGACCAAGGTCTATCGCGAATTCATTATCTTTCAAATAAAAACAAGCATACTGTTATCTACACTATAACTACAGTAGCTCTGTGAGATTAACAAAACAGAAAGAGGTTATTTCTAGCTCCAGCGTAAGAGAGAACTTCTGAAGTGAAATTCTCCCAGGAAAGTCGTCATTTTACTAAACCTTGACACACCATGTCTGACAAGCGGTCCCACGTGGTAGATTGCTTGACACACATGGGGTGTCAAGCGATCGTCAATGTGTTAAGGTAAATTTAACCCTAGCATGGAGCAAGGTTTAATTAACCCTGACACTTCATACGAACATAAAGTGATCTCTCCATGAACCATTTAGTCCCACTATACTGTTTTGACAACAAACACATATTTATAATTATTACAGTCTCAAATTTTCCTAT